ATGATGATGATAATAATAATAATAATGATAATAATAATAATAATAATAATAATAATAATTTTAACAGATTACGCCCCCACCAGGGCATTGCTACAGAGTAAAGCTGTCTTTAGGTCATTCCCAAAGGGGCGATATTAACATGTTTTTTGTGCACAGTAGAATTGTAATTGGGCTCATTTATCAATGTCATGCTCACACTGTGCGGAACAACATAAGGGGAACTGCTGCTTTTTCTTTCCTCATCCTTACTATCGTCATTTTCCTCTACTTCTTTTGTATGTTTGTCACTCTCTTGTGAACTGCCATTTACGGGATGCCTTGATAGTCGAAGCACACTTTGTGCTGTTGAGGTTAGAGAGGGGAGCAGAGTAAGCCTGATTCCCCGTTTGGATTCTCTGTTGACATCCAGCCCTTGGCACGCATATGATCATTGTGCACTTGCAAGCGCCGTAAAACCTTACAAAACTAAAACCGGAACAGGATTTTTGCCCATATTTTACTGGTTCCTTTGCTTTAAAAAAAAATCTTATCATGAAAGTACGTGTACATGAATACTACAGGGGTGATACTGAGAAGTGAAATCAAACGGAGCAGAGTCACTAAATGGAAAAGGACAAGATACCTATCTAAAAACCTTGCAGACTGTACAGTTGGTGCGTAATGTTTGCTTGTTGAGGGGGAAATGCACAAAATTAATTAATACGAGCAAAAATGCAGCTATGAGGCACACAGTTTTTAAAATTGATATCCTTACGATTTCCATGTTATGACTTGGCCCGCTTTTCCCCCTGGGATATACTGCATACCAGAAATGACAAGTGGAGGCAGAAACTACATCAAGCATTGTTCTGCTGGATTTTAATGTGTGTGTGATGGGGGGGGGGGGTGCAGGGGTTAAGGTTCTCTCGCTTACACTTCTGTTTGTATCAAATGGTCTAACATTGACGTGTACGGAAAGTTTGGTTCTTTTACGAAGCGAAGATTAAAGACAAAAATCACCCAATGACAGAAATAAACGTCGGAACTTTTGTAAACACACACAGACCCACCCACCCCCCAAAAAAACAAAACAAAAAAACAACCATCCGCAAAGTTTGATGATATTATGGGAGTTCAAAATTACTTTCGCTCTAGATGTCGCGGGGACTCAAAATATGCCCCTCCCCCTCAAGGAGTATAGACCCCGTATGTGATCGTGAGTAGTCAGTAGGTCTATAGTTTCAAATTGGTGGGGCTGAAGTATTTGTTTTCACCGACTTACCTTCATGAATTCCACACTTGATTCCAGAGGATGCTCTCGTCTGAACAGCAGCAGAAAATTTTCTTCCATAGGAAGCAACTGTGCCAACTGAAATAGGGCAAAAAACAAACAAAACGTAACAAATTGAAATATTCTGCAACGTTAAAGTGTCATTACTTTCCCAACGGTTCCCCAGTAGAAGGAAGTAGCTTTCTTGAATAGTCATGGTTAGATGCAAAATTGTAAATATTTCCGTTGACGATTGTTGTCTGTTCTTGCTTTCCCAATACTTTCTTCGTTCTGTGTTCGTCGTTTACTCCTCAATCAAAACATTTTCAAAATCTACTTCATCACCATGATTGATAATACGAGATCACACACATAATGTGCTTAACTTGGCGGTTATACATAGTCTTTAATATTTGTTTAAAGAGCAATTCACTTCTGGTTTAGCTTTATAATATCGATTGTGGAAATTCATTCAAATCGGGATTTTCTTATTTTCTCCACCATTTTTTCTCTTACTTTTTCCAGGCAGAGCAGGCCAAGGCCATGCCGAGAAAACAAGAAGACAAAAAGGTAACATCCAAACACGGAAGTAGCTGGCTGAAGGTTGCAGTGAATATAGACCGTAAATCTGTTAAAATGTCGCTATTTTGCTATTGGGATTCGATTTTTAAGGACGATGCTACAAAAATGGAAATAATGGTCGACTGTCTTCGCGGCCAGCACGCACAGAAGACAGATCTTGTCTTTCTATGTGTCAAATCGGGTATAAATAAATATATTTCAACGACAATCTCATGTCAAACGTGTAAATATCTAATAAAGACTATCTTCAGCAGTCTTTTCTCGTCCTCTTTCTTATTCTTTGAGGTGTGGTTCTCTCACAATCTATATTATTCTGTTTCTCTCTC